GGCAGGCGCTTATGCCGCTGAGCTAAATCCCCAGCCCCTGAGAGTTTCTTGTTTTGCATTGACTTCATCAATTTTATTTGGTGACCAACCCTGCTTACCTGCTTCCTTTAACTTCCCAGAAGTCCAAAGAATCGCCCGTGTGTTCTAACACTATCTTCTTTCCAATGAAGCACACACTGCTAATGAACTCTTATAAGATGTGCAACATTTTGTAGATGATTCATGGAGGCCAGTACATCTGTTTAAAGAGGAGGCATCTTCTTGACTACTTAACTCTTTCTTTCTTCTGAGCTATGGTGTTAAGACCTTTTCAGTTCCTCTTTTTTTGCCCTGGGGTCCAGAAACTCAGTTTTCCCAAACACCAAAGTTAAAAAACCAAGAGTTTTGTTTTAGAGCCGTTAATCTTTTTTTTTTTGGTCGTTAGTACATGTGTGCAGAACATGCAGTCTACTGTCATCTTAGGGGGTGGGTACATAATACAACTTCTTTTTAATCCTTTCCCCCCTCTTCTCTCCTAATTCCCCTTTCCTCATTTCTTTCTTTCTTTTTTTTTTGTGGTACCAGGGATCGAACTCATGACCTTGCAGTTGCTGTGAAGGCGCTTATGCCGCTGAGCTAAATCCCCAGCCCCCCTCATTTCATTCTTGATGTTATTAATGCTTGTTGATGTTTATGGAATGTAAGTTTTATATTCATGGAGTCTGCTGGTTTCCTGCATGTGGTATATCGCCATTTATTTCCCCTTCCCCTCTCCCTCACCCCTGCTCTTAGTCTCTTGGACTCCTTCCCATTTGCAAGAGATCCATTCCTTGTCTCCTGTCCACCCTTTATGATCTCTTTGTGTTTTGCCTCAAATGAGAGCTCCCATGTGGTACCTAAGCTGGGTGTCTGGTTTATTTCATTCAGCATTCTATTTTCCAGGTGCCTCCATTTTCCCATTGTCTCGTGTGTCTTCCTTTACAGCTGAGCAGTATGCCATTATGTGTAGATGCCACAGTTTCTTTGTCTAGTCATCTGTTGGTGGGTATGCAGGCTGTTTCCAGGGTTTAGCCACTATGAACTGTGCTGCTGCAAACATTGATACTCATGCATTGCTGCACATGGTGGCTGTAGCCCTCTGGGGAAGATGCCTAGAAGGGAGATAGCTGGGTCACATGGAATTTCCAATCTTAGCTCTTTGAAAAAATCTCTGTCCTGACAGCCAGAACGGTTGTGCTAGTTTACATTCACACCAGCAATGCGGGCGGGTTCCTTTTTCACCACAGCTTCCCCAGCGTTTATCACTTTTGATTTCTTGAGACTTGCCATTCTTTCTGGAGTCAGGAAGAATCTTAACATTGTTTTCATTGAACATTTTTTTCATATATTTGTTGAACATTTGTACTTCTGTGAAGTGTCATTTCTGTAACCCCTTGAGTCTTTTATTTTCGATGATCTAATTTTTTTAAGTAAAAATATGGAATGCTTCATGACGGTTAGTAGTAGTCCAAGCATGAAGCAACTGAGTTCTGTGTTCGGTTTCACAAAGCTAAAATCCTGGCATTGGCCAGCGCTGTGGTTTCAGGGGTTTGGGGCCCTCTTTCTCCCTCAGTGATTACTGGTGGAACCCATTTCCTTGTGGTCGTGGGCTTGATGGCTACAGGAATAGAAAGGGGGCAGGAGATGTGACATGGCTAAAACTGAGATTTAGATTTTATGGATATGAATAATAATAATAATCTCCTTGTGGTAAGTGTGCTGAGATCAAGGAAAGCTTGAGTAAAGTCAGACCCGATGTCAGTGCACGCAGACTTTAAATCTGAAGGCAATGCAACGGGAAAGTGGTAACAAAGATGATGGCTTGGTACTAAAATCAGTTACCATAAAGAAAAGGGAGTACCAGAGAAACTAACACACACACACACAGGAGGAGAGTACTATACTGTCCAGGGCATGTGGGTCAGACGAGCTGGCCTTTCCCAGGGAAGGCAGGGGAGCGAGGCACCGGGGACACCTGCATGCACTCCTGCCACCACCGTGGACTCTGACACAAGGTGGATCCCAGTGAAAACAGGAAGCAGTGGCCTCCGGAGATGGGCCGGTTCCCCTTAGGGAACGAAAGGCGAGGAGAGAGCGTGGTTTTTTAATTAAAATTTCGAAGTTGCCTTTGCTTTGTGTTAAGGCACCTGCAGCTCTGTCCCGGGGGACGCGCAGGATTTCCATTTCACGCTCCTGACGCCGAGTCCATTGTACTAATTAGCATCTCTCTTTTCACTTCTCATTTCTGGTTCCCTTCATGATTTCCTCAAATATAAATTCCTGAAAGTGATTGTAATGAAGGTCACCATTGAACATGAGTGTTCTTCCATGATTGTGTTTCTTGCCCATCTAATCACTCTGAAGTCCTTAGCGCTTATTTGGATCCTGGCTAGCAGGTCAGCGTTTGCGGACAGTAGGCATTAGAAAGCTTGGAAGGAAAAGGTGGCCGACGGGTTTCTCTTGTAGCTGCGCCATGTGCTTGGCCTGCTTTGTCTGACTTTCACCCAGCCCAGCCCTGTCTTCTTTCTGCCTGTTCACCATTCATGATATTGGAACGCAAAACTATCTTTTCTTTCTTTTTAGCTTCTTCTAAGGAGTTTACATTTCCTACAAGCCATTTAACATCTCTTCTTGTTTCTAGATCACCTTACTCAAGTCAAGGCAACTGGCCGCCCCCGTCCCTGAATCACTCTGGAGACCCTTCTCCGCCTGACAGGGGTCCCCTCGGTGGCCTCTCCCCCTGCTGTGTTCATGTAAACCTTCAGGCCGCAGAATGCCACTGCTGGATGATGTATTCAGTAACTAATTTCCCCCTTAAACGCACATGTCTAGTGCACGATGCATGGAAGACTTGTTAAAATGCCATCAATTTGAAGCACAAACTAAAATTCTCCTAGAAATAGAAATGGTGAAACGGGCAGTTTGATCCCTGGCAACCTCCCCAGGAGGAAATGGTGAAGCTACTGTACTATGAAGTCACTCTGTCCTTTACTATTTGTATCCCTTTAGACAGATCACTCAGTGTCTCTGAGCTTCGGTTTCTTCATCTGTGAAATGAGGTTGATGATACCTAACTTGTGTGATTGTTGATAATATATATGCAACAGTAATACTTGGCTTTTAGTAAATATTCAGTATTACTCTTCCCTACCCCCTCGTCTTTGAACTCTATAATCTCAGTGAATAATCTCTTTTTAAACAATCTCCAAAGCTTTGGTGTCCTCTTTGACTTCTTGTTATTCACTCTTTTTATCTGATTAGCAAGTACATACTGCTTCCTATAAGAAATATAAATAATCATCACTTCACCTGAAGTCTTACTTCATATCGGTAATAGAGGTTCTGGTCACTGGTCACTTCTCATGCAGTTTGGTTTGTTTGTTTCCAGTACTGGGGACAGAATTCAGGGCTTCACACTGAACTATGTCCCCAGTCCCGTTTTTACTTTTTATTTGCAGTCAAGGGCTCAATAAGTTGCCCAGGCTGGGCTAGAACTTACAGCCCTCCTGCCTTGGCCCCCCAGAATGCTGGGATTTCAGGTGTGTGCCACCACATCCAGCTTCACAGAGTTGCGTTCGTGGCACCGAGGACTGAACCCAGGCCTTCCTGCATGCTGACTGAGCATGTGCTCTATCACTGCTAGCCCATGACACAGTCTATTTTAATGTTTTCTATACTAGCTTTCCTACTGTACAATAAACAGAATTTCAAAGAAAGTATTTTTTACTTGCTTTTGAATCTGTATAAGCATTCCTGTCACTTCAAAGTGGTTCATATTTGAATCCTACAATAATTGTAAAGATTTTATTTTATTTTATTTTATTTTATTTTATTTTATTTGGTATCAGGAATTGAACTCAGGACCTTGCACTTGCCAGGCAGGTGCTTCTGCTGCTGAGCTATATCCCTGACCCCAATTATAAAGATTTTAAAGAGCCATCAAGTCCTGTAGGAGGTTGTACAGTTCACTTCTCTTTTTTCACTCTGGACTTCTTACATTGCAGCCAAACACCTCCTTATACATAATGTCTAACCCATTCTTTTTTTTTTTTTTTTTGTCTTTTTAGTTTTTTATCGGTACCGGGGATCGAACTCACGACCGCCTGCTTGCAAGGCAGGTGCTTATGCCGCTGAGCTAAATCCCCAGCCCCGTCTAACCCATTCTTTACCAAGCTAGGCCTCAGCCCCTGGCCAGGGTGACTTTCCTAAACTATTACTATCATTTGTTCAAGCCTAAATTGGAGAGTTAGCCAGAATTAGCTTTTTAAAAAGAAAGGAAGAAAGAAAAATAGAAAGATTAGCCAGTGTCTTACTTGTTTTTCTTCCATTGCTGAGACAAAATACTCGACACCCAAAATTAAGGAAGGAAAGGTTTATTTAGCTCACAGTTTGTGGAGGTTTCAGTCCATAGTCAGCTAGCTCCAAGGCAGGATGGCATGGCACAGGGGCCACCCTTCCAGGCAGCAAAATCAGCCAGAGCAAAAAAGCAGGGAAGAGCAGTGGTCTTTTCCTCCCTTAAGCTAAGTCCCTTGGATGGGTGTAGCACTCACACCATCTCTGTGCCCTCCTCTTGCACAGGCTGAGAATGTTTACAAAGTGAGAACCCAGGCTCCCTGCTGAATCACTCAATTAAACTTTTGACCTTGTCAAATTGACACAGTGAACAAAGTTGTAGAGCCATTGTTCTGTACACCAGGATGTAGAGCTGCTAAGTTACTTAGTGAAGCTCCTGGACTTTTCAAGTTGATACAAGGTATCAACCATAACAACTAGCTAGGGAGAAGTCTGCTGGGTCTGCATCTCATCCCCAAGCTGGTCAGCTCACAGCTCTTCATTTACCAGGTATGGGGGCTGGCACAGTCTGTTGCTTGTTAACCTAACCCTCACTTTAAAATTGTTTTTTCACTGTGTTACCCTCTCAGGATAATATTTGCACTTCTTTCTCCACGCTCGGTTGAGAGGTTTAATTGTGTACATTGTAGGTTTCTGTGGCACTGAAACAAGGCCAGATTACACCAACAGAGCTGTGTCGGAAATGTCTCTCCGTTATCCAGAAGACCAAGTTTCTAAATGCTTACATTACTGTGTCATACGAGGTGGCCTTAAAGCAGGCTGAAGAATCAGAAAAAAGATACAAGAAAGGTAAATTTCTTTCAATTATACTTAATTCTTATATCTCCAAAGAAGGAGTTTAACTTGGATATAGTTGCCTCCATTTAGCAAGCAGATGTTTAAACATAAAACACCCTATTGAAAAAACTTGGCTGAGGTTTAATAAGATTGAGGCTAATGGATATGTGATGCTTTATAATGTCCAACGATAATAGTTTCAACATAAATTTGATTCCTGAAAGCAGGTTTAATGCCAAAATTAGTAGTGATTATAAAAACTAGTACCATATTAATGTCCCATTATATTGTGAACCACTGTCCCCTGATGCAGGTCAGTCACTCGGGGAATTAGACGGAATTCCTGTGGCGGTAAAAGACAACTTTAGCACAGCTGGCATCGAGACAACGTGTGCATCAAATATGCTGAAAGGTAAAATGTGACTGACCAGAGCACTAATGATTTGAGAAAAACAGGCCCTTCTCAGTTTAAAGATGCTCAAGAACCACGATAATCCTAGATGCTCAAGAACCATGATAATCCTAAGTAGCTTGCATCTTTGATGGAAATAGGAATTACTGTTTATTTAGAGGTAGGCCAGTTTAATAAACAAATGCTATTTCACAAGTTTTAGAAATCTCTGAGGTGTGCTAAGTGACCTCTGTGTCCAGCCCCTTGAAAATAAGGGGGTAAATGTGAACTGTCATCACCCCTGCGGACACGGATTCATCAGCAGGCCTTCCTCTCCGGGTGTTTCCGCAGAATCAGCCAGTGATGCTTAGCTTTATTCCCACCGTCTGGTAAGTCAGTAGCTGGCGTGCTATCATGATACTTGGATCCAAGAGGAAAAAGAAATGGAAAGAAAAGGTTATTCATAGTACTACACGCTAAAAATAATGATCTAAGAGGAATGTATCCTGAGGTTCTCTAATAAGTGGGCTCTTATTAACTGCCTTGGAATATATGCTAAGCTTTTCAGTAGACAGGAAATTTTAATTGATTGTTACTTTTTTGTGCCAAGAATCAAACTCAACACCTCTCGCTTGCTAGGCAGGTGCTGTGCCACTGAGCTATATCGCCAGCCCAGAAAATTTTAATTGAGAAACTGATCTATTCTAATGAGAACTACCTAAAAATTACCATTTAATGTCACCTCAGAAAAAAAGTCAGATACAATAAGCAAAATAATAATTTGGAATTACAGATTTCAAATGTATTGGTTATATCTCTGAGTCTCATGCAATATTTCATAGTATTAACTTAAAATCAGTGTTTTTAGATTATAAAACTACTGAATATGGAAAAAGTACAGTTGGCTGGAGAAAAAATTAACTTAGAAAAAGTATAATCACTGTTCAAATTAGGAATAATTAACATGTCATTTGTTTAATTCTGTTTTAAAATCTTATTTTCTGTTTCTTGTTTTGTTTTGTTTTGTTTCGTTTTTTGAACCAGGACGTGATCTCTGGACCTCACACTTTCCAGGCAGGCACTGTGCCTTTGAGCTGTACCCCAGTCCTAAAACCTTATTTTCTATGTATGATTTACATGTTCACTATTTTTTTCCTATCATAAAAATAACTAAATTCTTTTCAGGTTATATACCACCTTTTAATGCTACAGTAGTTCAGAAGTTGCTGGATCAGGGAGCTGTACTAATGGGAAAAACAAATTTAGATGAGTTTGCTATGGGGTAAGTAAAATCCAAATTTTCTCTGTCTTTCTCCTGTCTGTGCCTTTAATTTCATTAAATGGAAGTGTCTAAAATCATTGGGTCATTACCTGAGGATTCTAATGCCACTTTCTTAGTTTTGCAGTGAGATTATGTTTAGTTATCTAGTAAATACATAGACTTACCTCATTTTGATTTTAATTTGCATTACTTTCCTGAACAATGATGCTAAACCACTTTTTCGTATTTACTGTGCCATTCATACCTATTCAAATTTTTGCTGCCAATTTTTTAATTCCTCTTGTTTATCTTATTAATGAGTTGTAAAATTTCTTCCATATATCTGGATTCATATCCATTATCAGATAAGTGGTTTACAAATGTGTTCTCCAACCTTTGAGTTTTGATTCTCTGAAAATGCCTTTCAAAGAGTAGAAGTTGTAATTTTTGATGAAGTTTAGTTTATTTATTCTTTTCCCTTATGATTCATGCTTTGTATGTCCTAAGAAATCTTTACCAAACTTATAGCTTTTTTGTTTGTTTGTTTTTGTTTTTTTGTCTTTTTCCTTTTTATCGGTACCGGGGATCGAACTCACAACTGCCTGCTTCCAAGGCAGGCGCTTATGCCGCTGAGCTAAACCTCCAGCCCCCAAACTTATAGTTTTAGCTCTTACATTTAAACATGTAATGCATTTTGAATTAAGCTTTATATATGGTGTAAATAGAGGGTTTTTTTCCCCCTATAGATAACCAATCATTCTAGCACTCTTTGCAAAACCAGCTAATTTCCTCATTAAATTACCTGTGCTGGGCTGGGCATATAGCTCAGCTGCATAAGTGCCTTCCTGAGATGCGTGAGATCCTGAGTTAGATTTCTAGTTCTCCACCACCAAAATAAATTACCTTAGCTTCTTTTTGTTAGAATTCAGACACATGCATAAAGATCTAATGGTGGACTGTTTCTATTTCTTTTTACTTCAGTATCATATGATTATTGTAGCTTTATAATAAGCCTTGAAATTAGGGAGTGAGAGTCCTCCAATTCTGCCCTTTTCAAACTGTTTTATATAGTGTAGGTAAAATGCTTCTGTAACCAGCTTTTTCTTATACCAAAGAGTGTGTGGGGCTTTTGTTTTTTGTTTTTTGGGTTTTTTTGTAGATCAACTTGAGAAGAATTGGTGTCTTCATAATTAGCATCTTCATACAGGTCTCCTCCACACATCTTGTATCTCTGCATTAAATGAAATTGTATTTTTTCTTAACAGTGTTATGATTTTCTGCTAATCTATAATTCTGGTCATTTTATGTATATAAATCATATGATTTCCTTAAGGTATTCCCAAGTGTTTTATGTTTTCTAAAAAACTATAGAAAATGGCGTGGCCAAACTTGGTGATACATGCTTATTACTCAGGAGGCTGAGGCAGAAGGATCATACATTTAAGGCCTCTGAGCAGCTTAACAAGACTCTTATCTCAAAATCAAATTTAAAGGGGCTGGGAGCCAGGAATGGCAGCACATGCCTGTAATCCCAGCACTCAGAAGGCTGAACCAGGAGGACTGTCATGAGTTCAAGCCCAGCCTAAACTATATAGTGGTACCATGTCTCAAGAAAACAAAAGAAGGGCTGAGGATGTAGTTAGAGACCGAGCACCTGGCCTTGTGTTTGAGCCCTTGGGTTCAATCCTCGGTACAACCAAAGGAGAAAAATTGTATGTTTTTCAATTTTGGAATGTTTATTGCTGGTACATAGAAATATAATTTACTTTTCTTTATTGACCTCATATCACATGACCTTGTTAAAGCCACTGATTAGTTTTAGTTGATCTTTGTGGATTCCTTGAACTATGAACTATTTTATATTTATAGAAACAATTTTCTTCGGCTTTTCTTTGTCTTCTCTTACGGCACTAGTTAGTACCTTCATTGCCATATTGAATAGAAGTGGTAGGAACCAAATTTCTTTGCCTTGTTCTTGATCTTGGGGGAAAGCATTTATTTAGCTTTTCACGAAAAGCACTCTTGTTTCCCCTTGTTAACTACGTGTGGTACCTGCTTAATTCTGTTCACAGAAGACTTGATTCACATTCCCAGGGGTATTTCTTGGCACTCGGCAGTATATGTTTAATGAACTCATCTATGGACATAAACTGAAACATAGATTTTTAAGCCCCTGCCTTCATCACAAGTGAAGGGGAGGCAGACTTCATGTGACTCTCCGAGGACGCACTGTCACCTGTGTGGTGCTCAGCTGTTCAAAGTGTAGAACCTAAACCTAAGAGCAGGAAGACACTTACAAATCCAAAGTGAGACGCCTTCCATTAAACTGGCGCATTAGAACAAAGGCTGGGAAAATGTTCCCGTCAAAAGAGGCTAAGGAAAGTAAAACCTAGAATTATAAAATTAGGGGGGAAACTTAACAAAACACTGTTGTGACCTTAAGTTAGGTAATCTGAGGACACATGAAGGATAAATGCATTTGAAAAATGATAGATTCGGGGCTGGGGATTTAGCTCAGCGGCATAAGTGCCTGCCTTGCAAGCAGGCAGTTGTGAGTTCGATCCCCAGTATCGATAAAAAGGAAAAAGACAAAAAAAACCTAAAATGATAGATTAGATTTTGTTAAGTAGAACTTCTGGTCTGCAGATATTTCAGTGGCCAAGTGCTCGCCTAGCATGTGTAAGGCCCTGGATTCAATTTCCCAGCACCTAACGAGAAGAGAAAAATTGAGAACCTCCAATCTTTGAAATAGACTAGTAGGGGCTGGTGATTTAGCTCAGCGGTGTGAGTGCCTGCTTGGCCAATGCGAGGTGGTGAGTTTGATCCCCAGTACCAAAAAAAGAGAAACTGCTAAAAATGAAAAAGCAGCAACAGACAGAGAAAATATTTGCAGAACATTTGCAAGGACTAGTATCCAGGCCAGGTATGGTGGTCACACACTTGTAACCCCAGCACTCAGGAGGCTGAGTCAGGAGGGTCACTGTGAGTTCAAGGCCAGCCTGAACTACACAGTGAGATCTTGTCTCAAAAAAAAAAAGCTGGTATCCAAAAATGTATAAGAACTTTTTCCAACTCAATAAGAAATCACCCCTGTGTTTTACAAAATGGGCAGAAGATTTAAGCAGTCATTTTATTAAAATGATAAACACACAGAGAAATGCTATATCATTAGTCAGTAGAATGCACATTTACACCACACTGAGACATGTAGCACTTACTGAAATCACAGAATTAGCTAGGAGTGGTGGTTTACACCCGCGATCCTGGCTCTCTGGGCTGAGGCAGGGGGATAAGTTTTGAGTCCAGTCTGAGGAATTTAAAGAGACCTTGACTACCTTGACTCAAAATAAAAATAAGAAAACGGACTGGGGTTTTGCTCAGTGCAAAAGCCTTGGATTCAATCTCCAGTACCACCCCCCCCCCAAAAAAAACAGAAGAAAAAAAATAGGCAGTTTCAGATACTGACAAGGATACAGAGAAAATTGTTTCTCATACATGTCTGAGAGGGAATGCAATTTTGGAAAATAATTTGGTGGTTTATTGTGAAGCTAAACACATATTTACCATACACCTTACAGTCCCAGTCCTAGGTATTTACACAAAAGCCCTGGTTTGCAGTCTAAAACCTGTAATAGCTTTGTTCACAATTGCCCTAAACTGGAAATAGCCCAGTGTCCATAAAGATAAAATAATAAAACTGATAAAATAATGGAAAAGAAAAAAAGAGGCTTAAAGGGACAATGATAGCTGAATGTAATACCTGACTCTGAACTTGATCTTAGATAATATGCTACAAAGTACATTATTGAACCAGCTGAGAAAATCAGATTCCAATTAGCATGATGTGCACACCTGTAATTCTAGCACTCCGGAGGCTGAGGCAGGAGGATCCCTGGAAGTTCACCTCCAGCTTGTCTTACATAGTGAGTTCAAGACTCTTATTAATAAAACTACATATGAGACCCTGTATCAAAAAAATTAAAAATGAATCTGCGTATGGTATTGTATTGATGTGAATTTTACTGTGATAACTGTACTGTGACTGTAAGGCAAAAATATCCTTAGGAAATTCATACTAAATACATAATAAAGTATTTAAAGGGCGATGATGTATATAAATCACTGTTACATCATTCAGGAAAGAAAATGTGTGCAGAGATACACAGATCATACAAATGATAAAACAAATCGTAGACAGTATTAACAACAGGTCAGCTGGGTAAAGGATAAAAGTGTTTTATTTCTATTTTTGCAGTTTATGAGGATGACATTTTAAAATTTAAAAACAAGTTATTAGCATTCCGCTTACGATGCTTTTAGTATTTCTGATTAAGGGAGTGATTTCTTCAAGACGTTCCTAACTACTGTGTTTGAATGTTTGTGCCTCTGTGGGACTGGAGGACTGTGACTCCCCAGGGAAGTCAGTTTTGGTTCTCCTGGGTGATCACGGGGATGAAATAGATCTTTTCTGAGCACACTGGTTTTCTCCCTCCATCCACCACCGCCTCACCCGAATCAGGAAAGGCGGCACTGAGCAAGCCTCTGAGCGTTTCCATTCCCAGCTATGCGGGTTAGTAAAAGCTGCAAGTGTCAGAGCAAGTACCGGGCAGCCCAGGATGTGAGTTTCACATCAGATTAGCAGGGCATCTGACCTTACCTCTTCACCTCAGGTCTGGAAGCACGGATGGTGCATTTGGGCCAGTGAAGAACCCCTGGAGTTACTCAAAACAGTACCGAGAACAGAGGCGGCTGCGGTCCCCGGGTGAGCGCAGGGGTGCGGATGAGGACTGGCTGATCGCAGGAGGAAGCTCGGGCGGGAGCGCGGCTGCGGTGGCGGCGGCCACCTGCTTTGCGTAAGAAGCTTTCTTCTCTGCTTTCAGACCATCCTGCTGCCGTGGGTCAGGGACGGTGCACGGAGTCCAGCGTAGAGTGGTTCATACGCTGGATTTTACTTCTTAGTGAGCTTTTTGTCCTCACAAATACATCAGAATTACATCTGCTAAATAGTGTACCCTCACCTGTACAGCATATGATGTATATGCTTTATACAGTGAACTTTAATTTGAAATAACAGTTACTTTATAGTAGCTGATTATTTTTAAAACATAATTTCATTAGATCTTGCAGAGAAAGCAGTAAGCATAAATGGACTATTGAATTTCATTTTTTAAATAACTGAAATGTTTGCTGATTGTACAAACATTTATAGACTAATACTGTGACTTTAGTTCAGTGCTTCTGAGCTGTTAGTAATGGTTTATCATATATATGTGTGCGTATGTGTATATATATATATATATTCCTGGTTTTTGTTTTTTGTTTGTTTGTTTGTTTGTATGCTTTTTGCTTTTTGCTTTTTGAGACAGTCTCACTATGCAGTTGGGACTGGCCTTGAGCTCACTTTGTAGCCCAGGCTGGTCCTGAACTTACAGCAATCCTGCTGCCTCAGCCTCCTGAGTGCTGATATTACAGACATGCACCACCATACCCAGCTAGTAATGGTTTATCTTTCAGCAAACTAAGTTTAAAAAGAAAAAAATGTTCCTAATATTTATCAATTGGATATTTAAAAGTGTTTTCAACAAATACGCAGCCAGGTATCTGTCGTTAAGATTTTTTCAGCCTTGTCAGAAGCTGATTCTCTTTATCTGTCATACTTTGTTCTTGGTATGAGCTCATTGGTTAATATCTTAAGTTCCATTTTTAAAGCATTTCTTAACCATTCTAACGAAGAGTAAGCTATGGTATGTTATCAATCTCCACGTAACCAAATTGAATATACTTCGGTAATTTTACCTCTCCATAGTTACCCACTAAAATTAAGCTCTTTCATAAGCATTGCAGCCAATACATTATTTATATTTTTTAGAGCTACGGAGCGTCAGTTTCTTTCAGTTTTTTTAGTTTTCCTGAAATCCTGTTAGCAAGTAAAACCATTTCACTTCATCTCTGTGGAACTTGATAGGGTGGCGTTCATATTAATGAGTGGTCTGACAAGTTAGACCTGCAGGATTAGATGCTTTTTTCCATCATCATCCCACTTGGCACTCGTCTTTTGGAACGTGCTTTGAGAAGATGGCGTTTTGACACATACTTCCTATGGAAATGCGGGTTTTGCTTTTACACAGCCGTCAGTGCATGCTAATAAGAGAATGTCGCTTTTAAAATAGTGAAAGCAACAATCTGATTTTGTAGCTTAAATGAAAAGAAACATAATTTGCATTTTCTGCGGAGCACAAATGCCGTGTTATTGTTAGGAGCATTGCTTTGTCCAGAGCTGCACTTTACACGTCCCCAGTGGAAGCACAGGCCTAAGTGACAGCGAATTGAATGCATCCCCCACTGTAAAGTGTTCTGCTTGTTCCCACCTGGCTTTCATTTGTTTCTTTTGTAACACTTTTAAAACAGGAAAGTTCTTGGGAATACTGTGGGACCACTAAAATGAATGAGGACATGGAAAGTTATCCAAGGTAATTTGTCAAGTGAAAAACAGTTACAAAACAGTATACTTGGGCCTCTTCCTATTAAAAGTAATAATTACAGAGACGTGGGTATCAGTCATTACACAGAAGTGCTGGCTGTGTGGATGAACGTATATCAAGACATAGAATAGGCTGTTATAAGAGCTGTGGTAAGAGAAATTTGACTTTATCATATACTGGTATGATGTTTTAATTTTTGTAGTAGTTGTGTATTATTTTTCTACCAGAAATAATTTCTCAGTTGTTTAAAATTTCCTTTTAGTTGGAGCAAAATAAACATAAAATCTATCATCTTAACCACATTTAAGTCTGTAATTCAGTAGTGTCAGCTATGTCATGTGAAAATAATCTTCAGAACCCTTCCATCTTGCAACACTGAAACCCATCAACCTCCTCTGGTCCTTGGAAACAGCCCTTCGCCTTGCTGTCTCTATGAGGCTGCATACTCTGGGTGCTCATGCGAATGTGGTATCCTGTAGTATTTTTGTCTTTGGCTTATTTCAAAGTTAGTTTGCTTTTTGTTTTTTAAATCAGAATAGTACATACTTTAGGTAAGTGACTAAAGAAGTGAATAGTCACTTTGTAGTTAGTAATATAAATATGAAATATGAAAATAGAAATGTGAAAAAGTATTCAAAAAATTGTATTACCAAAGTTTTCATTGATGGTACTGAAACAAAACACAGTTGGATTCACTGCATTTGGGAATACAAATTGGGTAATTTTCTTAACAAATAACTTTTATCATATAAATCAAGAACTTATAATAGTAAGCAGACACTTTCATCCATTAACTTTGTCTCAGGAGATATCTGAGCAAAAACTTATGTTTAATAAAAGCGTTCATTATATGGGCCTGGGATACAGCTCAGTGACACAAGCGCCTGCCTGGCAATACAAGGTTGTGAGTTTAATCCCCAGTGCTAAAAAAAAAAAAAAAAAGTATTCATTACAAAGTTATTATATACTTATTATATAGCTAAGAACAACATACATGTTTATATAAATTATAGTACATCTTTACTCATGATATCTAAGTGAGTAAAAGGATTACATCTGAGTTCTGGGAGTGATGTGTTTAGTGTGTCAAATTATCATTAATTTGACTTATCTTAAATGTCAGCATGAAAGAAAAGTATGCAATTTGTATGTATATGATAAGAGATTATACTTTATAATACTGAGGTTTATATTATGGCATACTGTACATAATTTAAATTTGCAGTAATTTTAATGATAGGATAAAAGTCTCACAATAAGCCAAAAAGGGATTGAAACTTGTGATTGCAGAATGATCTCAACTATGAAAAAATACACTTTCAAAAAAGAGTTGAATATGTCAAAATGTTAACTCTGCCTTTGAGTAGTAGAATATTTGCTTACCTATTTGCAGACTTCTATACTTTATGAATTCTCCAAGATGAGTATGTGGTACTTTTTATAATTGGGAAAATACACTTCAAAATATATGTTCAAAAGGGTGGATTCCAAAAATAGATATGTCATTCTTCTAAGAAGAATTTCCACTTAAATTCCAGGGCTTTAGGATCAGACACTGGAGGATCAACCCGAAATCCTGCCGCCCACTGTGGGCTGGTCGGTTTTAAGCCCAGCTATGGTTTAGTCTCCCGTTATGGTCTCATTCCCCTGGTGAATTCCATGGATGTGCCAGGAATCTTAACCAGATGTGTGGACGATGCAGCAACTGTATTGGGTATTTATATGATTCCCTATCGTTTGAAACAATTTCAGTGTAAAACCATGGGCCTATGGCATAGAAATGTTTCTTCTTACAGGTGTACTGGCTGGACATGACCCCAAAGATTCTACCACGGTGCAGGATCCAGTTAAACCATTTGTGCTTCCTAGTTTGACAGATGTGAGCAAACTGTGCGTAGGAATTCCAAAGGTAACTGCTTTCTTTCTAGACTTTTTAGTAACACTGTCAAATCAAATACAGAGCCAGACGTGGGAGTCAGATTGGTTAGGCTTGAATCCGGGTATTGACACCTTTGTTAGTAATGTGACTTAAGCACCTGACTCAGTCTCTCCAACCCTATTTCCAAAGTGGGAATAATAAAATTATTGCAATCATTGAGCTATGAAATTAGATAATCCTGTAAAACAAGATCTGTAAATTTTTTTTCTATAAAGAACTAGATAATATTTTAGGCTTTGTGGACCATATAGTTTGGTTAACTCAGCTACTACAGAGAGAAAAAAGGCATAGACAACATGGAAGCTAAGGAAGACAAAGTGTGGTCAAAACAGACACTGAATGTTTTAAGTTTTACACAGGCTTGTAAAAAACATTGACCATACCTTCCAATCATCCTTTGTGTGATGGACATATTCTTTAAAACATGTGACTGAGCACATCTTGCCATGGACTAGTTTGCCAATCCCTGATGTGAAAGACTTAGCCCCAAAGCGTTGCACACATGTGCTGAACGTGCTCACTAAATGTGACCTTTACTGTTATTATACTACCGCTACTGCTGCTACGTGTGTTCGTGTAACAGTCCCTACAGGGACATAATAACACTAAATTGTTGGCTTTTTTAAAATGAAAAAAAAAAAAAAAACCCTTAAATCTAGAATTGCATTAATGCTTAAAAAACTTTCTGAAATCTCTTTGAAAGATAAGTTATACTTCAGAGTAAGAAATTTCTCAGCTTCAGCACAGATGATGTTGGGGCTGGGTAATGTTTCGCTGTGAGGGACTGTCCTGCATGGGTAAGATGGTTAGCAGCAGCCCTGGTGGCCTCCACCTCTAAATGCCAGCACCCCCGACCACCAGCCACAACAAAAATCCCTTCAGGCATTACCAAATGTCCGTCAGCCAAGAAACAAGACAACACGTGCTTCAGATGAGACCACGGCCGTGGAGGAGTGCGACTTCCTTCTGAGTCTTTCCGTATGGTAATTATCAGTGGTTCTTTTAAGGCAGAGAGATCTCAAGCTTCAGAGACAACTAGTTCAGAATCCTACACTCTACTGGCTTGCTGTGTAATAGTAGGACAGTTGCTTATCTTCTCTTACTCATAAAAGGAGAAATGTTAGCACCTACTCTGAAACGGGGTTATCAAAGGCATGAAGTGAGGGAACCTTTGAAAAGCATATAGCAGAATACCTGATACTTAAGAGATACCGATTCCCCATCCAGATGGCCAGTGTTTAAATTGTTATATCCAGCTAATAACATGACATTGTGTTTATTCACGCCATAAATGTTCTTGGTTCGCTCTTTCTAGCTGCCTACCAGAAAAAGTGCCCATTTTTCTAGTGTCCTGCCAAAGTCGGTGTACAAAGTGCGAAACTGTGTACTGTATAGATGTTCCAATTTCTGTACCTTGACTTTCACCTGTAGGAATATCTCGTACCTGAGTTATCCAGTGAAGTACGATCTCTCTGGTCCAAAGCTGCTGGCCTCTTTGAGTCTGCGGGAGCCAAGGTGATTGACGTATCCCTGCCTCACACCTCGTACTCAATCGTCTGCTACCATGTACTGTGCACATCAGAAGTGGCATCAAACATGGCAAGATTTGATGGGCTAGAATATGGTAAGATGGCTGGGGATTTTTTGTTGTGTTGTTTATCTTGTTCTTAACAGAATTGTATTTCAGACATTTGAGAGTTTCATTCATTAGTGACAAAGCAACTTTATTCATGACTGAATAAAGTAAATAAGTGAGTCCTTTACCTTCATCATGTTAGCTTTGTATTATGCTGTTCATCCGAAATCTCTTGGAATTTTCTGTTCCTTTCTCTGGACCCTAAATACGCTGTGGGGATAATGTTGTCTGTGTGATCAGCTCATCCAGTGTTGTGCCCGAGACACGCTAGGAGCTCAGTATTTGGACGGCTGGAGAGATGGATGACAGAGTGAATAAATGGAGGTGGTTTTTCTTGGCTGTTTTCTTTTCTCTCCATGATCAGCCAGTAGCAAGGCAGATAGAGAAGGCAAATCAGAAAGAGCAAGTTCCCTAAAGTTTAGTGTTGGTGATAAAAGTGTCTGTCAGGGCTGTTCTCAGCCAAAACTATTTTCTTTTGAAGTAGCATGTATCTTTCTTTGTTTTCAGGTCATAGATGTGACATTAATGAGTCTACTGAAGCCATGTATGCTGCCACCAGGCGGGAAGGGTTCAATGATGTCGTCAGAGGAAGAATTCTTTCAGGAAACTTTTTCTTATTAAAAGAGTAAGACAATTAATTTAAAATTTTTCTCTGGCCTTGAAATTTCACGTAGCTCAAGTCTTGTCAGTTAAGATAATTTCTTAAGGAGCTGGGGATTTAGCTCAGCGGCATAAGCGCCTGCCTTGCAAGCAGGCAGTCGTGAGTTCGATCCCCGGTACCGATAAAAACGAAGAAAAAAAAAAAGATAATTTCTTATGATTTGAATTAGAAAAGTCCTTTTGATGATACTTTTGCTTCCTAGGTATTCAAACTTTTAAAAGAAAATGATGTGGTAGCTCAGTGATCAGTGTAAGCTAAGTAGGAAGCCTGGAAAATTCAGCCTCACTAACTGACGTGGCTGTTCCTGCCACTTTGGCTTATTGCCCTGAGAGCCCTTAGCAGGGAGTTACATTGTCTCTTGAAAAATTTAGTGAATCAGCTGAGTTGTCTTCTGCATTGTGTGTATTTTGCTTTAAGAAAGAATTCCCAGGGCCAGGGATTTAGCTCAGTGGTATAAGTGCCTGCCTGGCAAGCACAAGGTCGTGGGTTCGATCCCCAGTACCAAAAGAGAAAAAAGAAAGAATTCCAATTACCTGTGGTAGCATACCTCTGTAATCCCAGTTATCAGGAGTCTGAGGCAGGAGAATACCACAGTTTGAGGCCCACCTGAGCTACATAGTGAGTTCAAGGCCAGCCTGGAGGACTACATAGCAAGACCCTACTTAGACAAAACAAACAAACAAGAATTCCAAATTACTAATACTTTTACATAATTAAATTGTCTTCAAGTTTATTCACCATCTTGTGATTCCTTTCCTCAAGAGAATGTGAGAATTGTAAAAACCCAACAGTGGCCTGGCATGGTGGTGCATGCCTGTAATTCCAGCAGCACTCTGAGAGGCTGAGGCAAGTTGATCCCAAGTTCAAGCCCAGCCTGGGCATCTTAGCAACCGATACTTTATCTCAAAATTTAAAAAGGACCCAGAGATGTGGGAATACAGCTCAGCTCAGTACAAAAGCCCAGGGATGGATCCCAATACCACAAAACTAACCAAACAGTAAGGGCAAGTGGTGGTTGTAGGTGAATCGCTTCCCAAAGCTTTTCTCCATGCATTCTAGGCCAGAACACAGTTGTACCCGTCTGTTCAAGGCCAACAGTTAGGGTCACTTTTTCCAAAAAATACAATTTGATGTTTTCCTATATTAAAAGACTTCTGCATTTGAACAGATACCTGTAACCACTTAGGAGTATGGAAGATAAAATATTAAGACATTTTCTAAGCAAAGACTATTGAGCTAAAGGTATTACATTTCACTGGGCATCACAGCACACACTTAAAATCTTAGTGTTTGGGAGGCTGAGGCAGGTAGGATCACAAATTCAGGGCCAGTTTGAACAGCATAGTTATATATGTTCTTTTTTATTTTTTGTTAGAATTAAGGTCTCACTATGTAGTCTAGGCTGGCCTTGAACTCCCAGCAGTCCTCCTGCCTCAGCTTCTTGAGTGCTAGAATTATAAGAATGTGCCATCATGCCAGTTTGAGTTACATAATTAGACCCTGTCTCAAAAATCAAAATGAAAGACATATTTACCAAATACTACCGATTAGAATCATACTGGATTTTTTAAGGCACAAGTTGATGGACTGTATCAGTCACTGCAATAGCATAAAAAGAAATTGAAGGGGAGAAGACATGTTTGAAAACATCTTAGGTGATTACTAGTTGAGAGACTAAGAAAGAAAGAATTACTCTTGGTATCCCTGGCTTCTCACTCAGTCTCCAGTTGGGTCACCTTGTTTGTTTCTGGGAGGTTTCTGTTTGTGGCAGGGATGGTGGGTGAACCCAAGTGATAGGAAAAATGGGGTTGAGGTACTTTATTTCCTAAGAAAGTCAACTTTTTTTTTTTCCTAGAAAACTGCTCAGAACTACGAAAAGTCCTAATATTTTATTCTTCTGATATCTTAGCTTAAAATCTTGCAGCCTTCTGTTATGTTTTATTCCGTAAATATAAGTCCATTAAGATTCCAAGTTTATTTGTTTTTTTATTTTGAAGAGAATAAAAACAAATGAGACAAAATAAAATAGTCAATCACAATAAAAGGATGAATATGGTACATGACTTAAAATACAAGGAGATCAACAGTGGCTACCGTAATACCTCTTGTTATCTTCAAAAGAATTGCCCATATCATCAGGCATAATAAAGTTGAACAAAACAGCACAGAACAAAACCAATAAAAATAAAACATTGGAGACATTATAGGACCAAAAGAAGATAATAGTCAAACCAGAATGGGTATCATAGTGTATTTCATTGTCTTCTGAGTAGTTACCTGTACCATCAGGCTTGATAATATCAAACAAAACAGAATAAAATCAGTCAAAATACAACAATGAAGGCAATATAGGGTTTCAGATCAAGCTAATAGGAAATTAAAAATGGTTACCATTGAGCATCCTGCTATCCTTGGAATAGCTGTCCATGCATCAAATCTAATGCAAGTAGACAAACTGGAACAGAAAAAACCAAGCTAAACAGAACAATGAAAACAATAAGGATTTCAAATCATGATAGTAGATTAACAAAGGCCACTGCCTTCCCTTTTAAGATAACTCCTCTAATTTCAATTTCACAGGGTGCATTGTACATTTTGGATCCCACTAACTCCTTTAGTTTTTATATTAGGGAGGCAACCCGCTAGTCACGTAAGTGATTCTGAACTTTTTTACCCCTGAGTATGATCTCAAGTTGTATCCATTTACCTACAAGAACCTCAAGGTTTTCTTTCTTTATAGCTGAGTAGTTTTTATTATATAAAAGTGTCTGGCTTTCTAGCCAATCTGCAGCTGATGGGCAAGCTACCCCCACTTTTATCTGGTTCCCTGTCACACAGAGCATTGTTTTACCATCTTTGACTTTCAGTCTACAAAACCCCCTTTGGGGTTAAATGTATTTCTTATGGAAAGCATACTGGTGGACCTTATCTTCTGAGCCTCTCTGCCTGTGTTTCTTTTTATTGGTGAATCGAGGCCATCCGTATTGGTGACTGTGGCCAAGCCCCCCTGCTCTATCTCTGCCAGGCTATTTTTCTACCACTGGTTGCCTACTTTTCCCCTTCATTCCACTGTCTGCCCCGTTTAGTGAGCCCCCTCTGCCGCAGTTCCTGAAATCATGGTCTTTTTTTTTTTCCTCTCTCTCTCTCTCTCTTTCTCTAGAATGTCCTTCAGTATTTTTTGTAGGGTTGGTTTGGTGGTCATGTACTCCCCCAGTTCCTCTTTGTCATGAAAATATCTTATTTCTCCATTAATTTTAAAACATAGTTTTGCAGGGTACATCAATCTGAGTTGGAGGTTATTTTCTTTCAGGACTTGGGATATTTCACACCAAGCTCTTCTTGATTTGATGGTTTGTGTTGAGAATCTGTTGTGATTCTGATGGGTTTTCCTTTATAGGTGATCTGTTTCTTTTCTCTGACAGCTTTTAATGTTCTGTTCTTGTGTTGAATTTCTGGTATCTTGATTATTATATGTCTGGGTGTAGATCTGTTTTGGTTATAGCTGGCTGGTGTTCTGTATGCATCACTTAGCTGAATATCATTGCTTTTTCCTATGCTTGGAAAGTTTTCTTTAATTATTTCCTTTGTGTTTCATTTGTGTTTACCCCGGCTTATTTACTCACATTTTTTATTCTTAAGTTATAGTGTCTCTTGTCATCTTGGAGCCTTTGTATTGCTAGCTGGTTCTTTGGATTTTTTGTTTGTTGGTTTGGTATTGGGGATTGAACTCACAACCTTCCGCTTGCCAGGCAGGCTAAATCCCCGGCCCAGTTCCTTGTAATTTTTAAGAGATCTTTCCTTTTATGATCAAAAGCTGCAAACCTGTCTTCAAGATCTGATAGTCTATCTTTAGTTTCTTTCAAGCAGTTTTGCCAGCTTTCAGTGGAGTTTTTAATTTCCTGGTAATCTCTTTGAACCTGTTTCATGTATTCTGAATCTTTTTTGTATTCTTCATTGAAAGTTTGCCTCATTCTTCTATGCTCCTCTATTCTTTCATCTGTGTCTTCTTTAGAGGTGCTTAGGAATTCTTTTAATATGGTCCTCATTTTTTCTTTTAGCTGAGGTATTTCTGTGCTAAGTTCTTTTATAGCTTCTTGATGTTGTTTCTTTACTTCAGCTGCTGTTGCTTCAGAAACTTGAGGTGTGTGACTGCTGATCTCCTCCATGTTTACGTCTCCTGGACCAATACTGCTTGGGTTGGAGGCCAGAGACTGCCTTTTGCTTCTTCCTCTTGTCATGTTCCTGGTTTCTTCCAGACGAGTGGTTAGTGGGGTTCCCCGGCACTTCCTGTATTGGCTACAATTTCTCTGGAGGTACATTGTTTGCTTTTTCTAGCCTGTGCTGGCTAGGGATATCTGATGGTGACCATTGGGTGTGCTGGTGTAGGGCTGTCGGTGGCTGGTGGAGTGCAGGCAGGGGCCCTCCCGAGCTGGTTAACCGTAGGGAGCCCACATCACGGAAAGTATGTGCAGGGTGGGCGGAACTGGTTGGGGATAGCTTTAGGGAACCCTCAGAGATGGCTATCGGGTGGGACTCAGTGCAAGCAATTTCCACAAGTCTGCTTAGAGCTAGGAGTGACTGAAGCCAGCTGCAGTTCTGGCTCTGGGCTTATCCTGCCCGACTCCAAAATGGCCCCTGACCAATCACCCACTCCCACAGGAGGACTGAGTCCCCCACCCTCACCACCAGCCCGTGCAGTTCTCTGGTCCGCTACTCCCCTCTGCCATCGCATCTCCCTGCCGAGGCCTTCAGGGTGGCCAGCCACCAGCTTCACTGTGACCGTGCGTCCCCTGGTTCCAACAGCATTTCTTACATGGCGGTTCTGGCTCCAGGTGAAAGCCCTGCCAGCTACCACCTTCTTCTGTTTTAAGTTTTTTTCTTTCTTTCTCTTTTTGTATTTTCTCCATGGGCTTCAATTCTCACTTTAGGTTCTTCCTGGGTCCAGGGGACCCACTGCCTTCCCTCTTGTCTTCTCCAGGATGCTGTATTCCAGCATCTGGGCTGTTGCTCTCAGCGAGGCTGTTCACTCTGCTGCTTACTGTTCCATCTTCCCAGCATTCCCCCCCCCCCAGTTTATTTTTAATTAGCATAAATTTTTATTTCTGAACCACATTTAAGTCTATTTCTTGTTATTTGTCTATTTGTTCTGCTTGTTCTTTCTTTCCTATAACCTTTTTTCTACCTTCTGTTATCATTTCTATAAATAATATTTTTTCCCTTAAGACATTTTTCTTAAATTTTAAAAAATTTTATTAGTACACATTTGTAGCACAGAGTCACATTTATAAAGAGGTGTTGGTACACGTGCATAACACATCTTAATTCTTTTTTCTTTCCTTCCCTCTCCCACCCCTCCATCTCTTGGTCCCCCTCCCCTTTGCAAAGGATGTGTCTCCTTGTTTGCTATTATTTTTGTCTTGTTCTATGGGTCTCTCATATAGGCAATGCCATGCAATATTTAAGCTTGTATGTCTGATTTATTTCATTTAACATTATGATCTCAAGATGCATCCATTTTTCTACAAATGACTCAAGTTTATGCTGCTTTATGGTAGAATAGTATTCCACTGTGTGTAAATACCACATTTTCTTCTCTCATGTGTGGATGGACATATAGGCCACTTCCAAGATTTAGCTACTGTGAACTGCGCTGCTATAAACAAAGATATGTACGTATCAAAGAATTGGGTTAAGCAGAATTTCTAGTTTCTAGTAGTATTTTGAGGAATTCCCGTAGTGGCTACACTCGCTTACATTCTTGCACCAATGCACAAGGGTTCCTTTTCCCCCTGCAGCCTCACCAGTGTTTGTTATTTGACCTTTTTCTGGAGTAAGATGGAATCTCGGTGTTGTTTTAATTGGCGTTTCTCTAATAAACAGAGGCACTGGACATTTTTCATGTATCCATTGGCCTTGCTGGCTCCTGCTTGCCCTCTGCTTTCCTAGTCACCACGATGTGAGAGGCTTCTTCCGCTACCGGGTGCCTCTGCCCTGCTGTTTCCTTTGGAGCCTGTGAGTGGAAAATGAGCAAAATAAAGCTGCCTGGAATGTTGTGGCTCTCGGGTATTGTGTCCAGCAATGAGAGTGACTGAGACAAGTTACGTGGAGTATATTGGATTCTTTCGGGGCTGTAAGTTCCGTCAGCAGTCCAAAGAAGCCTTTGGTTTATGGCCAATTTAGGTCTGAGGCAGCACCGCGAAGATGCTCGCAGAGTCTGCGTCTATTGTGAGGTCTTCACTCACTGTCCAGCCCTGCGTGACCTGTAAGAATTGCTTGACTTCTTCTCTCTGGGGGGGATCTTTCCCGGCCCTGGGTTTTCTCCTTATCCAGGCATAGATCAATACTCAGGATTTGAGGGCTCTCTGCACACCTTTTTAACTCTGCTTTCTCCTGTCAAACCTCTGGAAGTTCCAGTTCTTTTTGTTCCTGAACTTTATTTAGAGTTCTGTTTCTTTAACGTGCTGAGACCCACCTGCATGAACTGTGTAGGTTCTTGTTTTGGACTGAGCTCTGAAAATTGCCTCCAGGCATTAAAGTAGAGCTTGTTTGCTTCTCAGAACTCTGCTGTTTGATGTCTGGAAGTGATTGCTTCACTTTACCTGGCTGGTACTCTAGTTAAGAAGACAAGATACTACCCCGATGGCTTCAGCAGATGCGGAAGCAGAAGTCTACTTTTGAACCATATTTAAAGTAGAGAAGATTAAATAGAAATTATTAATTGTAGAAAATTTAGGTTGAGGGAATGCTGTTAATATCATTGTGTGTGTGTGTGTGTGTGTGTGTGTGTTCGCTGAGGTTTGAACCAGGGCCTTTTCCTTGTAGGTAAGTGCGGTATCACTGAACCCTCCAACCCAAATACAGTATTTAACTATCAATTCATCCAATTTGTTATGATTTAACATATCTTCATTTTGATATCTTGAGTAGTTTTTTTATTTAAACAAAAAAAAGCAAAACACAAAAAAAGGTAGAAGTAACACAGAATTTCAAAAGAAATCAACACTAAGAAATCATTAGTTGATAAATTACATATTGTCATCTTAGAACTAGTTGTTCAAGTCCCAAAATTAAAGCATAGGAAGTGGACAGTCATACAATGACAGTGCAAACCATTCTGTTCGATGATCCAACCAAAACTTAGTAATGCGGTTATCTATCTTACACACGTAAACATACATGCAGTTATATCCTTTAGAGCCCTTTCCTTCCCTGTCTTTTTTTACAATAGCTATTACACATTTCGGAACTTATTATTTTATATATTTCTATAGTTGAGGACACAGAATAGTTCTTTTGTCTTCCTTTAACCAATTTCAGAAAATTGGAAACTTTTTTTCTTCTTTTTCTTTGTGTCTCTGTATATAATAAGAAGTTCTGAAATGTGTAATAGCTATTGTGTGCCATCATATCCGGCTTTTCTGTATTATTAAGACTCTTGTTCTTTTTTTTTTTTTTTTTTTTTTAATACAGTCTTTTTTTTTTTTTTTTTTTTCCTTTTTTCCGGTACCGGGGATCAAACTCACGACCGCCTGCTTGCAAGGCAGGTGCTTACGCCGCTGAGCTAAATCCCCAGCCCCAAGACTCTTGTTCTGAGTGGCATACTCTTGTAACCTCGAGTACTCTGGAGACTGGGCAACTTACTGAGAACCTGCCTCCAAATAAAAAGAGCTGGGGATTTAGCTCAGTGATGGAGTCCCTATGTAGTGTGTGTAAGGCCTTGACTTTAACCCTTAGCATTGCAAAGAAAGAATCCTTATAGTGCGTGACATAAAAGCTGAGAAACCAGTGATTCTTTTATATGCCGAATGTAAGAGAATTGATCTGGAGCAAGATAGAAAAAGATCTCAAAATGTCTTTTTTCCCCCACAGAAACTATGAAAATTATTTCATCAAAGCCCAGAAAGTGAGGCGCCTCATCGCAAATGATTTTGTGAATGTCTTTAACTCTGGAGTGGACGTTGTACTGACCCCCACCACCCTGAGTGAGGCAGTACCATTCTTGGAATTTATCAAAGAAGACAACAGAACTCGGAGTGCCCAAGATGATATTTTCACCCAGGCGGCGAACATGGCAGGTGGGGATGGCTGAAGGGCCTCTGGCCTCCTTGAAACCCTTAGCCAGCTGCCCTGGCCTCATTTGGGTTCTAACTGAATGGTTCCCTCCAGGCCCTGGCCTGTCTTTCTGATAGTGTGCGTGTGTGTACACATGTACATGTGTGTGCATACTCTCTTGCCTCTCACACACATCACACCTACATTCTGAGCCAGTACAGGTAAAATACTTCCAGATTCTATTTCAGGAATGTTTAGCTGGGTGTGGTGGGCACGCCTGTAACCGCAGCACTCAGGAGGCTGGGGCAAGGGGCTCACTGTGAGTTTGAGGCCAGCCGGGGCTACCTAGCGAAACCCTGACTCAAAACACCAAAAAAACTTTAAAAAAACGTTTAAACCAGAAACACTGAAATAGTATAATGAATACTGATAAACTTCTCACCTAAATTTGTCCTTGTGAACATTGTACCTCATTGGCTCTGGGTCTGTCTCTCTGTCTGTCTGTCTCTCTCCCTCTCTCCTCCCTCCCTCCAGGCACACACAACACCATGTTTTTAGCATTCAGCTTTTTTTTTTTGAAAGATTCAGATGCCTAATAATTTAACGTTAATCCCTAAAGACATGTTTCTTCATTACCACAATCCCATTATCACACCTAAGAAAACTAATATTAATTCAGAAATAATGTGACTATGTAAAAATGTCATTTATAAGTTGTTTTGACCCCACATATCTCCTACTTGTTAATGTCTTTTTAAAATCTAAAAAGATCACCCCATTTCCTTGTGATTTTGTTATTTTAGAGCCACATCAGGCTATAATTTTGCTTCAGTCATCAAACATAATGTTAAAATCTCAAGAAGAAGAGAAGTACTTACTGTGTTTGCCCATAATTCTGCTTTCTCTGTTTATTCTTCCTTCTGGAAGAACCAAAATTCATTCTTTTTTTTTTTTTCTTCCTGTAAATAGAGTTTCCCAGCAAATTGTCTTCTCTGACCTTCTGAAAATGTCTTGATGGCTTTTTCCTTTTATAACAGTTTTTTTTTTTTTTCCCCCTTAAGTTAGGTATCGAGTTCTGGTTTAACAAGTGTTACTGGTTTAACAGTTATTATCTTTGACACTTCAAAAAATTATGCCGCCTTCTCCTGTCCTGCCTACTTTCTCGTGAGAAATCTCCTACCTTTTAAATTTTTTTCTCTTAATGCTTCTTTTGGGAGTTTCTTCCATCTAGTTTTTCTGTAGAACATCCTATTGGTAGGCTTGATTTGTCTGATTATTTCCTCAGGATTGACTTAAACATTTTTGCAGCTATCCAACATACATTTCATGCCAGGAAACAGTAAACAGCATTTTATCTCACTTTTGAAAGCTAAATTAATCACTTGGTTAAAGAAGTAACTGCCAATTATTTTCAGACTTTTTCTTTTAAAAGCGCATTTTCTTTTTATCATATGTAAGTAACTTGTGGAGTGATGTTGAGACTATGTGAATATTTTATTCCTTGATAATCTTGAGGTCAGTTTATATCCATTGGTGGCCCTTACCTAGCGTATTAGACAGTAGACTTCTGTAATTTCAACATTCCTTCTACAGTTATTAGCTAACGTATTTCACTAAATAAGAGGTTTCTGTTTTCAAAACATTGGATCTATTTCGTTTGCTTGCTTGCTTGTGTCTTTGGTTTTTATGTGACAGGGCCTCACTGTGTGGTTCGGACTGGCCTTAAACTCACTATGTAGCCCAGACTGGCCTTGAACTTGAAGCAGTCCTGCTCAGCCTCCCATGTGCTGGATTACAGGTGTGTGCCGCCACACCTATTGTAAAAATTGGTTTTATTGGCTAGGGATGCAGCTCAGCAGCACAGGGCCTGCCTGGGAAAGGTGAGGTCAGGAGTTCGATTCCTGGTTTTAAAAAACGAATTGGAATTTTATTTATTTATTTTTTTTATGGGTACCAGGGATCGAACTCATGACCGTCTGCTTGCAAGGCAGGTGCTTATGCCATTGAGCTAAATCCCCAGCCCACTAATTGGATTTATTAAAAGCAGTTACTGTCACTTTTGTTTTCAGTGCTCAAATTATCCCAAATATAGCCAGTAAGAATCCCTTTTGGTTGCTTGTATCGTTTAGATCTGCTCTCATTTAATTTTTGAAAACTTACTTATTTTGTGACATTACCAAATGTCTCTGAATCTTGTGCTTTCTGTGTCCCAAACCTGAAATTAAAAGTATCCCAAGCTAATGCATTGAAAAACTAGAATTCAAACAATCTAAAGCTAATTTCTTAATTAATGGATTGACAAACATTCAAAGGCTCAAAGCACGTTCTGTTGGTAAGACCCTAAGAAAAGATGCCCAGCTCAGCAGCTCAAGCGCGTCCCTGGTAAGCACAAGATCCTAAGTTCAATCCCTTGTACCAAAAGAGAAAAGAAAAGAAATACTTGCTTAGCTGATGGGATTTCAAACTGGTATATCTTTGGAGAGCATTTATCCTTTTATAAAACATCTAAAACTTTCAAGAGTAGCAAAATTACATTTATAGCTATTGTGTACTACAGCGTTGTATAAAACAACTAAATGTTAAAAACAACCTAAATGTCTAATCATAGAAAATTAGTTCACTAAGCTATGGTAAAACCAGATAATGAAGTACTACATAGTTGTAAAAAAGAAAGAAGGTCTCTATGAATTGAACACTGATTTCCTTTTATTATTAGTGTCTATTAATTTTTTTTTCTTGGTTTTTTTGAGACAGGTCTCGCCATGCAGTTCAGGCTGCCGTGGGCTCACTGTTAGCCCAGGTTGGTCTCGAACTTGCCTCAGCCTCCGAGTGCTGGGATTACAGGCATGAGCCACCCCGCCCGGCTGGTGCCTATTGATTTTATGAATGGGTCTGAACATGTATATTTTGGTCATATCCATTTCCCTCCCTCCCTGTTCCCTTCTTATCTAATAATAGCATCCTTTTGACTTTCATGTTATCTTTTTAGCTTCCACATATTAGGAAGAATATGCAGTATTTTTCTTTCTGAGTCTTGGCTTATCACTCAATATGATTATCTCCAAGTCTATCCATTTTCCTTCAGAGGACAAAATTTTGTTCTTCATTATGGCTAAATACTACATTGTGAATATATACTATGTTTTCTTTCTTTTTTTTTTTAATTCATTTTATTTCAATGAGGAAAAAAAAGAGAAAAAAAACCCAGACTTTGAAAATACATTAATCAAGGGGAGGAACAATGGAACATACATTGTGCATTGTCATCCCTAAATCATTCACCCAGAGTATAAAACATGTACATTCAATTGTCCAAACAATATCAGCACAAATCTTTTTCTTCAGTGAACTCAGAGAGACAATCCAATGTTTACAGAAGTGAGTCTTATTTATTTCTCTTATGAGTATGGTCTCAAGTTGCATCCATTTACCTATAAAAATCTCCAGTTTACCCTTCTTTATAGCTGAGTAGTGCTCCACTGTATAAAATACCACATCTTTTTTATCCATTCGTCAGTTGATGGGCATTTAGGTTGTTTCCAAGACCTAGCTTTTACATATTGTGCTGCTATCAACACAGGTGCACATATATTGCTGTGAATATCATGTTTTCTTAATCCATTCGTCTGATGGTGGACACCCAGGCTGATTTCATATCTTTGCTGTTGTGAATTATATCACAGTAAAGGTGAGTACGCAGGTGTCCCTGTGGTATGCTGACTGTAGTTCCTTTGGGTCTACGCCAAGGACTGATACAGCTGGATCAAACCTAGTTTTACTGTTTTGAGGAAACGCCGTACTGATATCCATAGTGACTATACCAGTTTACATTCCCACCAACAGTGTAAAGCACTCCCTTTTCCCAAATCCTCATTAGCATTTATTTTTGTGTGTTCTTAAAGGTAGCCACTCCGACTGGGGTGACTGGAATCTCAGTGTGTGGTTTGGATTGCGTCTCCCTGATGGCTAAAGATGTTAATGAACATTTTTAGAGTTACTGGCTATTTGTACTTTTAGGGGGCCAGTGTCTATCCAGTTCAATTGCCATTTATTGATTGGGCTATTTAATTTTTTGGTGTTAAGCTTTTTATATATTCTAGATGCCAGTCCTCTGTTAGACTCGTAACTGACAAAGCTTTTCTTACTGCCTGGGGGCTTTTGGTTCTGTTGTTTTCCTTTCCGTGCAGAAACTTGTTGATTTGATGTAGTCTTGGTTTTGATTCTTGCTGTTTCCTGTGCTATTGGAGTCCTGCTCAGGAATTTTTTGCCAATGGATGTGGCTTCAAGTGTTTCCCCTGTTTTAGTCTCAAAGCTTCAGATCTTATACCTGTAAAACAGTGATTTCTGAGATACATTGTTAAGAGAACAGAACATGTTGCGAAACACACATATACTGTATAGTATAACAGTTCTGTTGTTTTTAAAAAGCCTTATTCTGGAACCTAGTATGAAGATGCATGCCTATAATTCCATCACTTGGGAGGCTGAGGCAGGAGGATTTTCGTAAGTTCAAAGCCAACCTGGGCTACATAGTGAGTTCCAGGTTAGCCTGAACTTTACGGCACAAGACCTTGTCTCAAAACAAAACAAAAATCCTATTCTGCCTTTATCTGTTAGCACTGAACAGCAGCATAGATCTGAGCTTCTTAGGATGGAGACTTAATTGATGGGTGGGTTTCTCCCTTTTCTGCAGGGGTGCCCGCTGTGAGCGTGCCAGCCGGTCTCTCACCCCAGGGACTGCCGATCGGCCTGCAGTTCATCGCACCTGCCTTTGGTGACCAGAAGCTTCTGACAGTTGCCAAATGGTTTGAGAAACAAATACAGTTTCCAGTTACTCAGCTTCAAGAACTCACAGAGGATTGTCCATCAGGCTTTGAAAATGACAACTCAGCTTCCGTTTTTCTGAAACAGTGCTGATAAATGTGTCTTGCAAATTTAAATGACATTTAAAGACTATTCTCAAGGGTCAAATGACACTGCTCAGTTCTTGTAATTAGGTGTAAAGAGTTCCCTTTTCCCCAGATCCTCATTAGCATTTATTTTTTTGACTGGGGCAGCTGGAATCTCAGTGTGGTTTTGATTTGCATTTCCCCAGTGACTAAAGATGTTGAACATTTTTAAACAGAGTTATGGCTATCAATAGAGTCATTCCTCAGATTCACTTTCTAAGATTCCTGGGGAACAGTTGATCGGTTATGAGCTGGCACCATTTATTAAACAGATGCTAATTGTGAAGTACAGGATTTATATGCACTGTAATACATCTAAAATACATGTTCCTGAAAACCAGTAGAGTGCAGAAGTGTTCATTAAGAAGAAAAAACTTACAACAAATATCGTCCTGGAAAAACATTTGCGTCTTTATAACTAAAATGCTAAGGAAAAAAGAACTGCTCTCGCAGAGATACGTTACGTAGCCCAAGTGGGCAGGTTGTCATGAGGTGGAGCCCGCACCTGGGATGTGAAAGCACACAGAAGCAGCTGAGCGGGAGGAGCGGGCTGGGTGCAGGAGGAAGCACGCCATGCCAGGGCCCAGATTCCTGGGGACTGGAGGTCCCTGCAGGGGAACCCCAAGCACAGGCACTCTTTCTTTAAACTAGGGCCAAAATGACTGTGAAAACTTTCCCCCCGCTTTCCTCCCTAGTACCCTGGGCCAGAAGGACCCAGAACAACCATGCGTTGCAATGAGCATTAACTGACCGCAGTGAGCTCCTTGATGTTTTAGAGGCATTCGATGTAGTCCAACAAACTCTGCTGGATAGAAACTTGAGAGGTGGTAGAGCATGGTTTGAGTGAAAAAGTTTGGAAGTACATTAATAGCGATCTAAGAACCGTGCAGACAGTTTGGTAGGGAAGCTAAAAAAAATGAGGCCTAAGACAAGATCCTGCTTAGCAGGTTCTCTTCCCTGTGGTCTCCTTGCCCTCCTGTCTGTCTTTATAAATGTTCTTTATTTGGGCCCCTTGACCCCAAAGAAACCTTAATGGAGATATCTATTCAACATGTGACCAAATCTAGTGGAAACCTACAGTTACTCTGAGGCCATCACTGCCTTTGCTGGAGTACCATTCTCATGTTATCCAGGCATTCTAACTTGGCATTTATATTTTGTTGATAAGTAAAAGTAGAAAGCTGAATTATTCCTTATTAAAATCACTAGTAAAAACAGTTTTTCTAAATATGAAGTATATAAGTCAGGTGTTATTGTAATCCAAATATTGCAGTCCCTTTCCTAATGTCCCTCACAATCCAGGAAGTTGTATTTGTAATCCCATTGAGCTGTTATTAGAATCCTGGCAAGTTAATTCCAGTCCACTGTCTCCAGTGCAGCACATGACAAGAGTAAAGCCACCAAGACATACTCAAAGTTAAGAGCAGCCAATTGGACCTAAGCGAGAGCCCAGTGAGGATGTGTGGACAAAGGCCCTGATCCTCGGCCTCTCCCAGAACTTTCTGTCTTGTGAAGAAGAGGGTATCTCAGGATGAGTGACAGTGAGGATGGCGAGTAACCTGAGCTGGCTGGCCAGGGGGAGAAAGCATCTCTGCAAAAGGCAGGGAGAATGACCTGCAGAAGGATCAGTCTGCATAATCCAGTTAGGGTAGCATTTGCATTGTTTTTGGAGGCTGTTGCTTCAGTTTCTGATACGTCAACTTTTATGCCCTGAGGACTCACAGCCTCTTTATTTTGAGGCTGGCACCCAGTTGACATTCCTGGAGCTGACTGGCTCTGCCACCCCACTGTGCTCAGATCTTTTACAGAGAGCACTGCAGAGGAAACAGGAGACTGTCAGCCGGGCCCCAAAGCTCACATATCAGTACCTCGGCTGGCCTTGTTTGCAGTGCTTAGAGTCAACTGAAGAGAGAAAGAAATCCCATAGCCAGCTCTGTACATGTGAGTAAATGGAAATAACACTTGATCTAACTAATGTTGCAGCAGTTGTTCTGAACTCAAGGAAAGGTGCCCATGTCATCTTCCACAAGATGTGCTGGTGCAGAGCTGTATTTCCAGCTCTTGGGAGGCTGAGTCAGGACTGTCTCCAAATTTAAAAATTAAAAAAGGACTGGGGATGTGGCTAGTGGTAGAGAACCTCTAGGTTCACTTCCCCATACCACAAAACAATCAGACACATGAAGAAAATAGTAAGAGGCTGGACCCGTGGAATGTTTTGGTGGAAGAATTTAACCTGCCTGTTGCTATTCATTAATGAGTTACCATCACTGATCTCTATCCTCAGTGCTTTTCCATGCGACAGGGCCTCTGACTTGCCACGGCTGGCTTTGAATTTGGAATCCTGCTGCCCCAGCCTCTCAGTTAGCTGGGATTACACACATGTACCATTGTACTAATCTCCTTCCATTTTTCTTTGGATTTATTCTGTGGTTTTGTTCCTTAAAAAAAACTTTCAGTGCTAATAGCACATAAGAGAAAATTGCATTACAATTGGCCTTCCACAACTACAAGTCCAACCAACTACAAACCAAAAGAACTCAGAAAAAAAAATTTTTTTAATTCCAGAAAGTTCTAAAAAACTAAACCCAAAAGCTTTGCCTTGTGCCAAGTACTAAGCTAAATGCATTCAGATGAAGTGATGGATAGGTATTGTACTAGATGTGATAATCTAGAGGTGATTTAAAGGAAGCAAACCTTTGCCACCATAAGTAAGGGACTGAGCATCGGTAGGGGTTGGTGTCTGAGGTCCTGGAACGAATCTGTGCTGTGTTGAGACACCACCATCTTAGTTGTAGGAGCTCATATGAAGTAAAAAGCAAATTCTCCCAATCTTTCTTATGTATGCATAATTTCAAATGAAAATTTTTCAAAAATACTTACTCTTTTGTCCCCATAAATAACTTAGCAGCATTAATGACTGAAAATAGAAGTCCAGCATTTGTTGTTCTCAGAATAATACCTAACTAGCATGAGATGACTCCTAATTTGTATTTCTTTCTCCTCTATTTTTATCCTAAACCTAGTAGATCTCATTTCACCAAGTCCCTGTCTTGGAATTTCAGTGACAAATATTTTCCGTGCCTCAGCTAATTAACCCTTGAGATTGTCAGCAACACTGCACTTCTGAAAGCCAAAGGTGGCTACAGGTCTAAACTGCTTTCATAAAACCAGCCAGTGAACTAAACAAAAGAGCAAAGGTTAGCGTCAACCATAAAAGCATGTCAGGTAAAAAACTGTTACGTTATCGCGAAACTTGGCACACGCAGCCAGAGGGGCAAGTGGGAAAACCACTGTTACATGCTGGCCCACACATGCTTTACCGAGAAAATCACTGGAAACTAGCGAGGCAGAAAGTTCCTTTTGAACGGCTCTTTGACCACAAATCCTCTGTTCATGACCATCTTTTCATTACTTTTGTCCATTGCTAAGACAGAATACCCAACATTCTAGGTTAAAAGAGGCCGGGTTTATTTAGCTTACAGCCTGTGGAAGTTCAGTCTGTAGTCAGCTGTCTCCAAGGCAGGGTGGCAGAGGAGAAACAGTTCATGGCAGTGGAAGACAGCAGAAGCAACAAGAGCCAAATGGAGGAGAGCAAGAGCAGGCCTCTTCCCCTCCCTTATTGTATGTAGGCTCCCCACCCCAGGGAGGGGGTAGCTCACACCCACAATCCCAGCATTGGACCCTGAGTCCGTCACAAGCAGAACCCACTCCCGGGACCGCATGAGGCTGTAGGGGACATCCAGACACAAACCATAACAGGTCTTCCAGAGTAACACCACATAACACAAGAGGCACTCCCAAAAATGACAGGAAGGGATGATTTCTACTAGGAAAAAAAGCCTGTACCTTCTAAAGGTACAGGTGCCTTCAGAATGTTTGTCACCAAAGGACAGTAAGAGAGAAATGGTACCAAGGTACCAATGAGTTGATCTCAGCAAGATGTCCATAAACTATGACCGTGTAAAGCAAATGAACAAAATAACACAGAACATTCATTCTTTAACTTGAAACCTCCCTCCCCTTTCTTGGACCCGTGATTAGCTGTGTTCATCTGAAACGCAAGTCTAACATACAATTTATTTGCTGCATTTAGAAGCACCAGTAGCATATTAATGAAGGCTTTCCTCAGTTATTCCATAGCCTAAACTGTGTTTAAACACTGCAACCGAAACCTGAAACTTTAATGAAAGCATATAGTATGAAAAACCCAGTCAACATTAAGTAAAAGTATTTACTACAAGGTTTCTTTGTACTTAAGTGGAACATAAATCCAAAAGGATTTTAGGTAGTTTATTAAAGATACATATATATTATTACAAAGGTTAAAAAGTAAACAAGCAAATTGATAAAATAATAAAACTGAGGATAAAGGTAAAACCAGGACTAAGATTAAAGACAGTAATGCTCATTGAGGTATGTTTACAGATGCTTATGGCTACAGGGTGTGACACGGGGGAAATTCCCCAGTAGCTTTCCCAGTGTGGTGTGGCTGGCGACTGAATAATCAGGCAAACCTGGGTTTGAGTCTTATTACTGCCATTTACGAGCTGTGTAATTTGTCTGGGCTTCATTATCCTGATCTATAAAATACAATAATATTGCCTCCATGGGGTAGGATTAGACTTAGTGAACATGATGCCTGATAGAATAGGCACTTGATAATATGTAGGTATAAATAAATGCATGCAGTCATGAATTAAAGTTACAGTGTGTGGCCAAATTACAATTTACTAAAAATTTATAGGCCAGTTGTATACCTCTCTGGTACATGATCTGGCATCCTCTGAAAATAAAATTTAAAATATCTGTAAGAACTGATAGATTGCATATTTTATAATTTCCATGACTACCACACTGTTAGAAACCTAGAGATCTCCAAAGGCCCTTGTGCTGTGACACCCACGTGCGGGGTGGGCCTGACTGGCCCCTCTAAGAAGCTTCTGCTAAAGTGGCCACCTCACATTTCATTAGGGAAAGTATTTTTGACAGAGCTAAATTCCCCCTCATAAAAATCAGTTCCATGCCAACATACAGAGAGATAATTGAAGCTCCAAAATACTATGTCCCAGATGCAATTACTTTAACGGGAAAATTTTAAGGTAGATGTTCACCAACAGCCCATCAGTATACCATCAGAAAAAAGAAATTAATAAAGTACCCATGGGACATCTAATTGTAAGCAGTTTCACTGCTTGGTGAGTCTCCCAAGATAAATTAGTTGTAAAATAGGCCTTCAGATAAATGAATAATATGATAGTCTTGGTGGCAGGTATCTTCCAAAATAATAACTGATGATTTTAGCATAGACCACGGGACCAATTTTCTGTACGCCATTTGTGT